CTTGTGCCGCTGAGCTAAATCTCCATCCCCTGTTATGGTATTTTTGATGTTTAGTATTTCCTCTTGATTCTCTTTTAGAGTTTTCATTTTTACATTCTCTATTCTTATGTGTTGTCTTTTTCCATTCGATCCTATACATATTAATCATCATTATTTTAAATTCCCTAAATAATTCCAAATCTGATTTATATCTGAATCCAGTCTAATGCTTGTTTTGTCTAATCAGATGGAGATCTTTTTCTTGCATTTAAACGTACCTTGTAATGTTTTGTTGAAAGCTGAACTTGATATATTGAATAGTAGGACCTGAATAAATAAGGTTTTTGATCTGAGATTTTATGTTTATATGACTAGGAGCTGGGCTGATTTTGTTTTGATGTTTCATTTGCAGTACTGGGGATTGAACCCAGGGAGTAGTGTGCTATATCCCAGAGCTTTTTATTTTTTATTTTATGGCAGGACCTACTAAATTGTCCAGGCTGGCCTTGAACTTTTGATTCTCCTGTCTCAACCTCCTGAGTAGCTGGGGCTACAGGTGTATACCGGCATGCCCAGTCTGGGTTGTGTTTAATGCATAGTGTGTACTTTCTGGTGACAAGAGTCTCAGTTTTCTATAGTCTTTTGGATTTTTCCCTTTTTCATCAGTTCAGACTGGGGAGGTTCACTTGAGATTGGGTCAGCCTGAAGAAGAGAAATGGAAAGGTCTGAACATATTTTATTCTCATTTGCTCAGCTCAGCTGCATGCACTCAGGTGGCAGTCCTCAGGCCCCTAATCAGCTCGTTCTCACAGATGTTCTAGGCCACTTAGTCTCCCACCAGCCCTTGTGGCAGTGTACATTTATACCAAATACACAATCGTGGCCTTGTGCTTATATACCCAAGGACCTTGGTTATATAAGTTATTTACACTGGCCAGCATCAATTTTGGTTATATTAGTTATTTATACTGAGACTCAGAAAGTTTGCCTGCTCCGAAAAATTACTAACTTGGACTTAGTGTCTTCCAGAAATCACCCCCAACCCAGATTGAACCAAAGGTAGCCATCTTAAGCTTCATTTTTCCTTATACACCCCTATTATCTGGGTTTTAAGTATTTTTTTCTTAGAGTACGTGGTTTCCAGCTCTCTCAATTGTAATTATACTGAAACCCCCTTTGGTGTGATGGTGAGGTGTTGGGAAGGGGAAACATTCTATAATTCTATGATGAAATCATAGTGTGTTTGCTTGTTTTGTTTGGAGCTCTTTGAGACAGGATTTTGCTATGTAGTTCAGGCTAGCCTTGAACTTACTATGTAGTCTAGGCTAGCCTTGAACTTGGGGCGATCCTCCTGCCTCAGCCTCCTGCGTGCTGGAATTACAGGCATGTGACATCACACCTGTCTTGTTCTGTTTTTGTAGGCTTTTTTAGTTCCTAGGTTGTGATCTTTAGAAATATTTCTGTATATTTTATTTCCTTGCATGATTCATGAAGGCTCAAAGGCTGAGAGTTGACTATATATGCCCATTCTCCAGGTTGAACGAGTCCCTGGTATAGTTTCCACTAGAAGGCAAGTCACTGTTGTGGAATACATTCTGGGTATATTTAAACATGTATTCTTTCCTCTGTCTGCTCCTTAAAATACATTTTTTAAAATCCCAGATAACGTGGAAGAATTCCTGAAAGTAAAATCCACAAAACTGTGGGGACTGGCTAACGTTGGATGCCATGAGTTTTTAATTATCCATATAGTAGGTACTCAGGCCCCAGGAGTTTGTCAAAATTAACATTTAAGTGTGCTTAACAGTTACTGGTTACTCAACATTTTTTTTTCCAGACAGGGTCTCACTGTGTAGTTCAGGCTGGCTTTGAGTTCACTATGTAGCCCAGACTGGCCTCAAACTTGGGGCAATCTTTCTGCCTCAGCCTCCTGAGTGTTGGGATTATAGTCATATGCCACCTTACCCAGTTACCCAGCTTTTTATTCAAGCAACCTGATCTCAGTTGTATTCTCTGTATTAACCTCTGTCTTTCTTAGGTGACAGTTTTGTGCTGTGATCTCAAGTCTGATGGATCTTTTCTTAAAAAGTCACTGATGAAGACTATATGTAGTTTACATATGTAAACTAAAGGATTCTTTTTTTTTTTTTTCCCATGCCAGGAATCAAACTCAGGATCTTGCACTTGCCAGGAAAGTGCTGTGTCACTGAGCTAAATCCCCGGCCCAACTAAAGGATTCTTATGACTCAATAATAAAGAATAACCCAATTAAAATTTGAGTGAAGCTTTTTTTTTTTTATGAGAGATGATCTCACTTTGTAGTGCAGACCGGCCTTGAACTTACCTCATAGTCCAGGCTGGCCTCAAACTCACAGCAATCCTCCTGCCTCAGCCTCCCAAGTGCTGAGATTATAGGTATACACCTCCACACTCAGCTGGTCTTTTTTCTTCATTTTTTTTTTTTTTTCCGGTACTGGGAATCAAATTCATGACCTCACGCTTGCCAGGCAAGCACTGTGCTGCTGAGCTAAATCCCAGCCCCCCTTTTTTCTTGAAAGTATATTTTTTAGGTATAGAATTCTAGATTTACAGAGCTTCAGTACTTTTGACATTTTACTTCACTGTCTTTTTGCTTCCATTGCTTCCAACTAGAAGCCTGTTATCTTTATCTTTTCCCTCTACATAATATGTCCATTTTTCTCTGATGCTGTTAGGATTTTTTTTTCAAAACTTAATAATTTGATTATGATGTGCCTTTTTCGGTATTTCTTGTTCTCAGATTAATTGAACTTTTGAGTCCATGGTTTTACATTTTTCATCAAATTGGGAAGTATTTGATCATTATTTTTCTGTTTCTTTTCTTTGCTGCCATTCACACTCCTTCAGGTCTCTGTCACCCATGTATTAGGTTGCTAGAAGCTTTCCCATGGTTTATTGATGCTCTTTTCTGTTTTCTGAGTCTTTTTTCTTTGTGTTTTCCATTTAGGATATTTTTAATTATTGCATCTTCAAATTCACTAATACTTTTTTGTAGTATCTAATCTGTCCTAACTTTCATTGAATTATTTTTGGTGTTTGGAAACAGGCCCTCTCTATGTAGTTCAGGCTGGCTTTGAACTCATTATGTTGTCCAGGCTGGCCTCAAACTCCCAGCAATCCTCCTGCCTCAGCCTCCTGAGTGCTAAGATTACTTGCGAGCCACCATGCCTAACTTCTTAATGCCATTTAGAGTATTTTTTTAATCTCAGTCACTTTAATTTTTATCTTCAGCAGTTCAATTTAGATATTTTTGAAAAATCTTCTGTGTCTCAAATTATTAAAAATATGGAATATAGATATAATGACAGCTTTATCTTTTACTGATAATTCTAATACCT